AGATGGTTGCTGCCTTGCTCTTTGCAAAACCTTTGTATTCTAGCCTATTTCCTTCATTACACACAACACAGGTCGCCTCTGTGTGCTGTGATGGTTCACGGCCTTCCTTGTCCCACTGCTGCCTTACATTCCTGGCACCTCAGAGAGGATCATGGTCGTTTATCTCCAACGCTGCCCTCAGGATCAAATAATTTACCAAACTCCTTTATTAAGTCTCTACTATGCCAAGGTATCCACTAGCATTACAGAAAGGTAAGTTACCTGTATTAGGTGACCACTTCTCCAGCACGACCAGCATTGGATCCACATATAACAACACCCTGTCCTAGGTGAGCAGCTAAAATGATTTGGGACGTCTAGGGCCATAAGGCACAGCCTGATTCTACTCTCATTTACACCATTTGTACACAGCTGTAGGGCTAGTGGTTTCAGTGAAGTGCCTCTTGATTTTCCCCAATGTGAGGGGAAGACCAGACCATTTGTGTGCTGCTCTGTGCATAGTTCCATGCATCATTTTACATTTTTATTCTGAAACACTAAGCAGTAGTTAAATGTGATCAACTTTACTATTTTATTTTCCCTATATTGAGGTTAATTGGCAGACAGATCCATGTTGTGGATGCAAGTGGCTCTCTCTGCATTTAAAAGATGGCTTTATTATTTGTATTACAATAAAAGCACTTAAGTATTTATATCCTGATGCTTTATAAACAATCACATTATTGCAGTATCAAACTAGGCTAATTGAATCTTTCCTGGGAATCCCTTCAATTCTTCATGTCAAACACCCTGCCATGTTTATTAACAGATCCTTCTTCTCTGAGTGGGGGTTTAATGTAGGATTCACTGTATACCACCCTTGAGTATAACAGGAACACTGAAATAGCTGATGCTGATACAATATTCCCTAGCGAGCTGATATTTACCCTGTTACTACTGTACCCTTCCAAAGCCACCATTGTATAGGAAGGTTGGCTCCTTATCAGCAATGGTGCAACTTGTCAGTCTGAGTCTAAATGCCTTCCATTGACTACTAGGGCTATTTTTAAGCCCATTGCCTTTTCTTGTGACCAACACCCTTTTCGATGTGTGTGACACCCAGGCTGGGTCAGGCAGCCAGACATCACAAAACACAGCTTGAGGCACCCTCATGCCTTGCAGCTGTCACATTTCCCTTGGCCTGGCTTCCCAACAAAAGAGGCTGGAGAAGTTAACTCCCAGTTCAGGGGCTGCATCTCCACTACATCCCCCACAAGCTCACACCCCGCAACCTTTGCTTCACGGCCTTATATTGCTTGATATTGGAGTTTTGTGGATGCAGTGAGAGCGCACACATTGTTGTGGGTGTGTTGGAGGTGCATACATTGATGCGTGCATCCCCACTGAACCCTCCGAAAAGTGCTTCTTCTTTACTGGGCTTTTGTTTGTCCTTGACAGAGCTCTCAACATGCTGGCACTACAACGCAGAAGAAGGATGGCGGTGTTTCAGGGGCCGGGGAACTGAAACCATCCAGCAAACTCCATAGGATTTGAAGTTCCCCAAATGAACCCCAACATTGGCCCCACCGCCCCTTCCAATTCGCCACCAGCTATTAAAGCTTAAAATGTGACCCCTGGTCTACAGCATCCTCTCACTTGCTCTTTTCATGATCCAGTGTGGAAGTGACTCCCTACCACACAGAGGCTCTTGTCTTCATGGGCAAAGTGTCAGGCCTAGCAAAGGAATTGTCCTTGGAGTCACTTCAGTTTCAGGGTGAAGATTGCTGAGGAGATAAAGGTGTAGCTGGGAATGGGGTCAAGTCAGGGAGGGCAGCTTGTCTTAAGAGGCAGCTAGGAGGGATGATCTGGCTGAATACTCCCGCTTGGACTCCCAGAGTCCTGACACTAAAGTCTGAGGCCTTATCTCTGGAGGAGTAGTTAAATTTAAACCTGGGTTGTGGTTCAGACCTTCTAAGTGCAAGATCCTCCTCAAGCTTTTTGGGATGCTCTGAGGCATTCAAAGCACAGCTAGCATGGGAGAATCCCAAAGGCTTGTGCTTCTCCAAACCTTCTCTGAATCTCTAGAGAACAACATTGGGCTGGTTATCTCACAATAGCAGCCCTTCTGGAGGCAACTTCTTGTTTCTATTTCTGGTCCTGGCTGGAAGTAGGAATTTCAGAGAAAGCTGCAAAAAGTATTAGCATAGGCAAAGTGAGAGGGCAGTTTGAGTTTGCGGGCTAGTGGGGTCTGAACTGCAAGTTCATATCCAGATCTGAGCACTCCTAAAGTTCACAGCTATGCAATTAGTTCATCTCATTGTAGCACAAAGACCCAGCACCAATTTTAGGTCTGGATCAAATTCAAAGGGTGGGATGATTTGGTTTGGATGTTTTTCTAGTACTGAGTGAAGGTTCGGAGATGAAAGGATCCCTTATTTCACTTGAACCTGTACATGCCTATACCTAACTGGAACCCAGATTTGCCAATTGCCATCCCTACTTCTGATGCTTTCCTCTATGCAGGCAAAGAAGCCTCCAAAATCCATTGTTCATCCTTCGGAGTCTGCGACAGAAAAGTCAAGTGTCACCTTCCTACCAGTTGGGTGGATGTAAGTATATAAGCATATGTAGCAGGCACGCACACTGGGGATGACTCCAGAGCTCCTGTAAATTAGCTAAGCAGGGGGTGGAAAAAGAGAGAATCTCCCTCAGTTATGTAAGAGAAGTGCACCCCTTTTGGTGGTTTTAACCAAGTAGAATCACAGAGGTTAAAAAAACTACAGCATCCTCATCTGGGAGTTTTCTAACCTGATACCATCTGCCAGAGATTTAAAGAAGGGGATTCAAGTGCACAATTAACCAAAAAGAGCACATTCTCAAAATCAGCTTTAACTTGAATAATCAAAAGCACCAAGTGATGTTACCCAGGGTTTCTGGATTGAGGGTGCACTTATAGAACCCTGACCAAAACAAAACTTGGAGAAGACAGGCTTGCTTTTCTACTTCTTTACATCATTTTTATGCCAGTCCAATTCCAGCACGGTCCAATGGAGTTAGACTGCTGTAAAAATTATGCAACCCAGTGGAAATCAAAGCCCTAGGTTTTTTTATACAATGGATACACCAAAACACCCCAAACATATCATTCTGTCCATCATTTAAATTGTTTGCAGAATGGAGGTGCTGGCAAGTCCTAAAGGTTCCTTCGTATTCACACAGAGCTCATCCCCAGGAGAGCAGGGATTCAAAGGGGGGCAGCTGTTCAAACAATTCCAGGAAACCTGTGTACAAATCTGACTTTTTTTTTTCTTCTTCAGAAAATGAGCCTTAAAAAAAGAAACAACAGAAAACAACACCTCCCCCAACCCAAACCCAAACTGGAAGCCTTGGAAATCTCCAATGAACAGGCAAAAAGCAAGCGAGCAAAGCAAATCATAATACTTGGGGATTGACAATCCACATTTCAGCGGAGTGAAGTAAGTATATCCCAGCTAGACACCAGTCAGAATCACGTGTTCTGGACACAGCAAGAAGATCTTATCAGCTAGGTGATTTCATGCCTTTATTCAGGCTAATTTTCCCTCGGGAGGGGGAAACCATAAACCAAAACAACAAACTCCAGTTGTTGGAGTTTTTATTTTAATCCAAATTCAGCTCTGCTAGGCCAGCCCAAAACAGTTGTTTTAGCAAGATTAGCTCATTTCCAAATTCATGGTACTATTTTTGGCATCCAGACATGTGTACCTCTGCCAACTCTCCCCAAGCGACAGTGCTTCTGAACTCTTTCATGTTTTACAACCGCTCTGTGTTGTCTGAAGATTTTGCTACAAGAGGGAGAAGACATCACTTCATTGGGTAGTTGGACAATTTTTCTGCCCTTCATCATTGCAAGGCTGTGTTTTGACAGGGCAGCTAATGCTCCCTTGGCACCCAGAAGATTTGCGTGAGAAGACAACAAAAGGAGGCGGGAGTGCTGAGGGTAGGAAATACAATCCACTGTCAGTATTCTTTAACTATACCAGCACTTTCTGAGGGAAGGACAACAGAGAGTTGGAATTTATTCTATTCACCATCAATCACAATGAGCCAATAATGGCCCAAGGTTTTTGTGGGGAGTCTGGAAAGCTGGGTATGCAGGGCCACCGGCAGAATTCCATAATCCTGAAATTCTGGAGGGTGGAATTCTCCGTCATAAGTGGAGGGCTCAGTGCTGTGACCCCTCTCTTCCTTCTGCAGATTAAGTTCTATGGCATGGACTCTTCTCTGGCCATCTGTCAGCAATTTCTCCCCGCCTCCAATCCCCAGAGTGCAGGACTAAGAAAGAGGCTCACAACTTTTCAGATCAGATCTCATTGCAACAATCACACGGGTCATCCCTCAACCTCCAAGAGACTCCAGATCTGTGGATCTGGTGCCGTAACCACTCATGTCAATAGAAAGTCTCCCATTGACCTTAGTGGGCATTGGATCAGGACCTACCTGAGCCTGCTGGCTGGTTGCCGCAGCTTCCCTTCTTAGGTCTATGGGCTCTGCCATATGCAACAGAAGTAACTCCTTACCATAGTTCTGAAGAAATGCAATGATCATAGCTCTGATATTCCTGGGCTAGCTGTAAGCACAGAGCGGGAGGAGATGGCTACTTGAGGGTACACCTACACAGCCCACGCCAGTGGGCCTCCCAGACCAGGTGGACAGACTTGTGGGGCTTGCACTACCATGCTAAAAATAGCTGTGGAGACATTGTGGCGTGGGCTAGAGCTCGGGCTCTGAAGACTAGAGAGTGGGTGGGTGTCAGAGCCTGACCTCCAGCCTGAGCAGCAATTTCAAAGCGCTGTCTACACAGCTATTTCTAGAGTGCTACTGTGAGCCCCGCAACCCCGTGTCTGTCGACCTGGATTGGGACGCTCGCTGCCATGGACTGTGTAAACATATCCAAGCGTCAAGGATGTTTTCATCCTTGTTTTTCTTCCCTTCCCCCTTGAGTGTTTCCTATATTCCCCAGATTGTTCCAGAGCTCTTACTTTATGGATGAGGCTGGGATCCCCCTGGCTACTCTCCTCATCTTCTGAACTCTTCTGTTCCTCGTCTGATGTGACGTCCTCCACGGGTACCACAGAGACAGGGCACACCTTGTAAGGCTCAGTATAGGCACTGTAAGCAAAAGGAAAAGATCAGCCCATCACATTCTCACCATGCACGCCTCGTCACTGTTACTCAGACATAAGTATTCCATAGGCAGCCCAGACACAGCTAGTGGCAGGTAAACCCAGTAGGTCTGTTAAACTTGGGAAGCAGGATTCCTGGAGCTTCCTGCTTTTTGATAGTAAGTTCAGAGGCTGCCATGAATGTGAAACATAATAGGAGGAAAGTTAACGAAACTCTTTAAACCTCCCAAAAAGTTTGGTGTTTTGGTTCAGTCCAAGCTTGGGGCAGAAGTTTGACCGGGTTCATATTTTAGGGCCACAGTTCGAACTGGTTTGCCCTTTGCTAGATACAACCACCCCAAAATGAATATAATAAAATAATAATGACTAACAATGATAATTAATAATAGAGCGTAGATACTGTGATGCTGGGTTCTCTAGGGATACTTCAGATCAGTAAAACAGCACAATAGTAACACCAATAACCATAGATAAAGTGCTCAAACCAAATCCTCAGATCTAAATATTTGTGAATTGTTTCAGTGGAATCTGAACCCAGATCCAGATTCTGCAGCTCTGGCTCATCTCTGTATTTCATAGCACCTTCCACCTGAGGAACTCAAATCATTTTGCCAATGTGGATGAATCATGAGCCTGAATGCCAGTCACAGAGTACTATGAAGGTGGCCGTGGGTGAGTTAGTGTGACTAAGTGCTGGATTTGCCCTGGATTTCACCTAGAAAGTCCACTACGAAGGGAGTTTATAACAGTACATATAGGCTGCAATTTCACTGGCACTGGGGTAAAGGTGAATGGGGCAGAGGAGGCCTCCACAACCCCAAATGTGGTGAGCACAAGCTAGGGAGAAGCGATGGCCAGAGAAATCACTGATCTCCTGGGGAGTATCTATGGTGGGGGCTTTATGCATTTCCCAGTGGAAACTAAAGCTGTCCTACCAAGGTATAATCCCCCAAGGAATGGCTGCTGGTGGAAACATCACCTGCCCCTCCTCAATATGAATCAGCACTACAGTGACTGGACACCCACTGACACAGAAAAAGTTTTTTTGCCAAGGTAGAGTATGAATCTAGCCCTTAGTCCTTATTTTCTGAGGGCCCAATCCAAAACCTGCTGAAGAGAATGACTGAGGAGACTCAATAGGCTTTGGACCAGGCCTGATTTTTCATTCAGGAATGCAGCTCCCTGCTGAGGAGAAATTATTTGATTTTTACATTCATTTATAAACAGTTAGACAGCTCTGCCACAGCTCCTCCAAGATCCTCATTGCCGGAGTGCAGCGGAGATCGCTCCAATGGCTCAGAGGGGAGAGAGGCTTCAGGGAGCTGCTCTGCATACTCTGCCGCAAGAGGATGGTGGTAGGTAGAGGTTGAGCCTCTTCTGTGCCTAAGCATTGTCTTCCCTTGTTTATTATTAGTGTCTGTGGTTTTCCAGTGTGGGCGGCATCACTGCACTTCCTAAACCCTGCCTAGCTGCAACAACAAAGGAGCCTCTGTGGATCAGCTCCACCCCTCACTTCCAAGCTTTTATTGATGGTAATTGCTTTATTACTTTACGTTCCTCACTCCCAGTGCTTGAAATATATACAACTCTAAGGCCAGCTTATCTTCACTAACCCTCTCATCCATCAGGGAGTCTGACAATGTGGAGTCACAGGTTGCTATTTTAAAAGTGATGTATGTGGGTGGCATTGGCAGCAGAACGCTAGGGGCAGATGCTCCCAAAGCATATCATTTTAAAGGGGTGTCTAGACACACTCTATTAGTGTTAGGGCGATATATTTCTACTGCTGTCCCATCCTCCTCTGGTTCTGTTACCTATGGTCTGTCCTCAGGCTGAGAGGCATAACTCTCTTCTTGAATCTCTGATTGTCTTAAACTCTTCTCCCATCCTAATACCCAGATCCAAAACTCATTAAAATCAATGGCGCACTTTCCATTGACTTCAGCGGGCTTTGGATCAGGCCCTAAATACAAGGGTCTCCTTCTCACATATTAACTCTGCTCCACCAGCTCTGCCTCATTTCATCCTACACCCTGTCCTACTCCCTACACTCCCCCCGAGCTTCTCTCCTCATTGCTCTCTTTGACTTTTCTGTCCACTCCTTTCTCCCTCACCTACATATGGCTCAGCCTCCCAACCCCAAATAAACCTCATGCCCTATCTCTTTTCCTTCAAAATCCTTCTGCAAGCCCAGCTGTTCCTAATGGCCATAAGTCCTCTGTGATAGGGTGCTCACCCCACACTACAATGGAGGGGTTAAGGTGGCTCAGAAGGGCTAATTAGCTGGGTAGGCTGCACCTTGGGGGAGATTAAGGCTTGATGACAAGCACTAATTGAAGATGTAGCCCATCTGGGCAGGAGTAGCTGGAGGCTTGAATAAAGCCAGGAAGTCAGAGCAGAAGAGGGGACAGAGTGGAGGTCTGCAGTCACTCTCTGGGTCTTGGGAGGAGTGAAGGAGGAAACCCAGGGGTAGAGCAGATGCCTGGGGATCCACACATTGTGGTAAGGAGTTACCCAGAAGCGTGTTGGAGAAGAAAGCCAGCAGAGGGCAGAGTAGAAAGAAGCCCATGGAAATGGCAGCAAGGGTTGAGATGGTGCAGAATTTGGCTGCTGATTGTAAGGCCCCTGGGATGGAACACAGAGTAGTGGGCAGGCCCAGGTTTCCCTACCAGCTATTGTGGAAGTGGCACAGTCTTGATTGGGAAGACTGTGTGGAATAGTACCAGACAGTGGATCTGATGCGACTTTGTTACTCCAGGAGGGGAAAACTGTATAGTGTCCTGGCCAGAAAGCCAGGCCTCGGAGAAGAAGCACTGTGACTCCTAGACAGCAAGAGGGGCTGCAGCACCAGCGAGTGACAGAACGGGGCCTCAGCCCAGGCAGAGCTAATCCCCAGATGCAGCTACAAGGGGGAGGCCCAGTGGTGAGTAGACCCTGTTTGGTGGAGAATGCAGGCATGACAATTGACCAACACGAGGAGTCTGAAGGCCTGCAATTAGGGTTTCCAACTTTCTAATCTCACAAAACTGAACACCCTAGCCCTGCCCCTTCCCCAAGGCTCTGCTCCCGCTCATTACATTCCCCCTCCCTCGGTGGCTTGCTCTTTCCCACTGTCACTCACTTTCACTGGGCTGGGGCAGGAGGTTGGGGTGCGGGATGAGGTGAGGGCTGTAACTGGGGGTGTGGGCTCTGGGGTGGGGCCAGAAATGAGGGGTTCAGGGTGCGGGAGGGGGCTCTGGGTTGGGGCAGGGAGTTGGAGTGTGTGTGTGGGGGGTGAAGGCTCCAGCTGGGGGTCCAGGCTCTGGGATGGGGCTGGAGATGAGGGGTTTGGGGTGCAGGAGGGGGCTCCAGGCTGGGGGTGGGGCTGAGGGATTCGGAATGTGGGAGGGGGCTGTGGGTTGAGGCAGGGGGTTGGGATGTGAGAGGGGGTGTGGGCTCTGGGGATGAGGGGTTTGGGGTGCAGGAGGGGGCTCTGGGATTCTGGGGGTCAGGGCGGGGCAGGGGGTTGGGGTGTAGGCTTACCTTAGGTGGCTCCCGGTCAACGACGCAGCGGGACTAAGGCGGCTCCTTGCCTGTCCTGGCTCCACGCTGCACCCCGGAAGTGGCCAGCAGGTATGGTTCCTAGGTGGGAGGGGCAGGGGCCATGGTTCCCAGCCAATGGGAGTGCGGAGCCGGTGCTCGGGGCGGGGACAGCACATGGAGCCCTGTGCCTCCCCCCGCCTAGGAGCTGGAGCTGCTGGCTGCTTCCGGGGCGCAGTGCGATGCCAGGACACATAGGGACCAGCCTGCCTTAGACCCGCAACACCGCTGACTGGACTTTTAATGGCCTGGTCGGCGGTGCTGACTGGAGCTGCCAGGGTCCCTTTTCAACCGAGCGTTCTGGTTGAAAACCGGACACCTGGCAACCCTGCCTGCAATCGGGAAAGGACAGGGAAAGGGGACCATGGAGCCACCATGTACAGAAGCCTTCTTTGCAGTGGACAGATATACCCTACTGAGGTGGGCACACTAGGCAAGGAACTGACTATGGCCATTGGGAAGAAAAAATTGGCCATGCTGGCCAAAGAGCCTGAAATAACATACAGTTTGGGAATAGAGTAACCACTTCTTTGTTGTGTAATGACATCTGTTTATTCTCAGGACACACTACCAAGAGCAGAGAGCATGTTGATTGGTGAATGAGTTGTGCTAAGTGATAACTGCTCTAATGACTGCATGGGCTTTTTGTGTGATATCACAGCACAAGGTAGCTGAAAACCTCTGTTAATTGTTGGCACATGAGTCACTAGTGAAAAGAGTGAGGCTTTTATTTGTCAATTCCTCTTCCCACCCTTGTGAATAGACAAGGATTCCCTCACTTCTCTAGCCCGCTTGGTGACTCTGCCCTCTGATAGAGCCGCACATTCTGATCTTGGGCCATCACCGCTGGCCAGTCCTCAGGTGAACAGTGACAGAAGACTAAGTACAAGAAAGGGGGGGGGGGGAAAGCACAATCACCTACAGAAATGGCTCGAGCCAAAGCCTGCTTAAGTCTGATCTCACTCACACCAGCGTATAGAGGGAGTAACCCCGCTGCAATCAATAGAAAACTATTGTAAGTGAGAGGAGAAGGAAGTTTGGCCACTAGAGCCTCTTAAAAGTTACTTTGCCTCATTAGCTGTGGAAAGGGCAAAGATAATGAACATTGTCCTATGATAGGATCTCCCTTGGGGGGGAGGGATAGCTCAGTGGTTTGAGCATTGGCCTACTAAACCCAGCAGTTGTGAGTTCAATCCTTGAAGGGGCCACTTAGGGATCTAGGGCAAAATCAGTACTTGGTCCTGCTAGTGAAGGTAGGGAGCTGGACTTGACTCAACTCAATGACCTTTCAAGGTTCCTTCCAGTTCGAGGAGATAGGATATCTCTATTTATGATGTGTAATGAAGATGCCTGGAAAATGCAGTATTGTTCTGGCTAGATCCTCTAGCCTTTCAGGACCCCTGATTC